AACTGGACTTATTAAATGAAGAAATAAAAGAGTCATTAACAAAAAACCAAAAGTCTAAAGCCGTATTTTCTGTGACTTTTAACTTAGATGAAAACAGTTTGGTGCAATTGATTACGCTTGTTTTTACATGAATTGAAAAAAAGGTGCTATAGGACCAACAGAAACCGAGATACAATACTTTCAGTTTTTTACGCATTCTGGCCGTTATATTCGATTCTTAGACTTTGGACCAGCACGGTTTTTTTGCTAAAGGTTTATTGTACCATAGGAAATTATCCTCTTACAGAATTGGTCAATCTTTTTTGCATGTAACGACTAATTAAAGTAGTGTAAAATAGCGCGTGAGCTGCGATACTTGAGCAGCTGCAGCTAGCGATTAATAGAGCCTTTCGACGTTGTGCCTAGATTCTTAATAGCACAATTAACGCTTTGGAGCTACGAGGCATGTGCAATGCATCGCTGGCTGCAGCTGCTCAAGTATCGCGGCTCACGCGATAGTTAACACTACTTTAATTAGTCGTTACAGGCAAAAAGATTTCTATAGAAAGATAATTTTTTATGATACAATAAACCTTCAGCAAAAAAATCGTGCCAGTCCGAAGTATAAGAATTAAATATAACGGCCAGAATGCGTAAAAAACTGAAAGTATTGTATCTCGACTTTTATTGGTCCTATAGCACCTTTTTTTCCAGTTCATGTAAAAACAAGCGTAATCAATTGCACTAAATTGTTTTTGTCTAAGTTGGTAATTACAGAATGAAAAACCCCTTTTTATTAAAAAACAAGTCACAATCGAGAAATTTTACTATCGCGAGAAAAAGTCCAATTTTAATGTGGATGTGTGAGTGTGAGTGAACTGGGGAAGAAGAATGAACATGTGGGTTAATCCTAATCGACAGAAAGGCAACCTTGAGAGTAGCAAAGTACAGTTGTTTAACTGTAAGTGCTGTCGGCACGCTATTTATTTCAGAGTTGTGAATCAACGGAGCAAGTATCTTGCTGTTCAAAGGACTCGGTGCACTGGTCGGAAGAGCAAATCAAAAATACAAAGCGAGACAGCAATAAAAAGTTAAAATGAAATGTCTTAGACTAACTGTCAAGAAGTAATGATTGGCTAGCTCACACTAGCTTGCGCGCCCGTCAGTAGGCCCAGCAGAGCTCTCGGCTGCCACGCCAGAAGCCAATCAGCAGGCGCCGCAGTCATGAGCTCCACGATAGTGTGGCCACGTATTACACGCACAAGACAAAGGGGAGGGGCAAGAAAGAAGCGTGTTCCTGTGTAATACACACCATAAGAAGAAGTATCGAATTTTCAATCGGGACCGATCATGGCAGAGTGGGTAAGGGCTACGGCTAGTGTGCAAGAGCTAAAAGTTCAAATCCTGTTTGAAAATAGTTTTTTTTTTTTTATAATTCGTTAAAAGAAATAAAATTTATAAAATTCAAAATATGCGATGCAGTGTGGTGTAAAGGAAAAAGGATTTGCATGGAACAGAGGAGCGCGGTACGATACGGGGAGGTATAGAGTGGACTTCACTGCTGGTGTAGCACTGCAGCATGAGATGGGGCGGCATACAGGAGACTAGCAGGACGAGGTGAGGGAAAAAGGTAACTGAAAAATTCACTTTTGTTGCACATTTTTTCAAGGTTACTCATATTAAATCGGTCATTTACTCTGTAAATCAGAACGCATCTATTAGAATATAACTTAAAAAATATACCTTTTAGGTCTTTTCCTATTTTAAAAATTCACGTAGAATTCTACGACCTTTGAGGAATTTTTCGTCAAAATTCCAATGGGAACGTGTGCGGTAAAACGTCAGTAACCTAGAGGTGTACTACAGGCAGAAATGCTTCAATGTACAAGGTATGTTCAGATGACAGAAATTCAAAACTTTTGCGAGTTTGGAAAGTCCAATCATGAAATTTTTTTTGTTTTGTTGGTGTAGATACCTCAGAATTACGATAAAATATGCAGTTGCATTTATCATTTCTCTGCCTGTGGTAGCTTCAAAAGTTAGACTTTTTTTTGACTTTGACATATTTCTTTTGTTGAAACAAAATGTGGTTAGTGGTAAATGAGCTTACAAGTGGCATAAGCATTCCAAGAAGGTTGTAGGGACGTTTCAGACGACGAACGCCATAGACGCCTCAGCACATCAATAACTAATGAAAACATAAAAAAGTAATAGAAATAATTATGAACGATCGTTGAATCACAATAAGAAAAGTCGCTGATAATTGGCTGATATCATACAATTTTTTAAAGTATTTTTGATATTAAACGAGTGGCACCAAAGTTTGTTACGAAGTTTTTAAACTTTGAACATACAATTTTGTAAATTTCCGGCTTAAAATAGAACAGTCACAACGCCTTAGCCTCCATACTTGCCAGACATGTCTTCCTGTAACTTTTTCCTTTTTTCAAAAATGAAAAAAACTTCAAGGCAAATTTTAAAAGCGAAAAAATTAATATACACAAAAAAAAAAGCATTTTTTGATAGAAATAATAGTTTTCGTTATTTTTTTAACCTACCTCGTATACTACATAAAAAATCTGCAAGATCATTTAAAGATCAAGCTACAGTTTACATACAGAAACCTCCATTTATATTTGTAGATTGAGACAGATCATAAGATTTTACATAGAAAATAATAAAACAATTTTTTCATCTACCTAAAGAGGATCATTAAAGGACAAACAATTTTCAATTATACACAATATAAATAAAAAAACCCAGATACCTCAGGGTTTCCTTTAAAGAATGTAATAAATAAAAAAAATTAATTTTTAATTAGTGGCTTAACTCAAATGGGGGCCGATTCACTTAGAGACGGGCAAATCAAGCTCACACAAATTTTTTACTGTTCCATACACAATTTCTAAAGCTTTCTTAAAAATCATTGATGCTTCATTCCATATTATATCTACTTCTCTCAATTTTTTTGTCACACTCACATTCTAAAAATACTATTTAATTGTTCAATTAATTTAAAAATAGTTTAAAAATGATGGGATTTATGATGAGTCTTAGTAAAAAAAAGAAAAAAAAATTCCCACAGCCCCCAACCATTCTTAGAAAAACTTCAAAGGCCCTCACTGAGCACCACAATTTTCAACAAATTTACAGGCTCCCCACTTTCTTGCTGAACTTTCGAAAAAATCTATCAATAAGCTTTAACCAACCCTCTACATAATCAGATAGTATTTTTCATTATTATTATAAAGTATTTATTTTAATTAACTCTCTAAGGCTCTACATAACAGGAGCAAACTTTCATTGAAAAATTCGATACGTTTCTCCGTTATGTCAGATAAAATGATTATGACCCATTCACATCAACAAGAGAATATAAAAAAAAATTCCATTCCACCAATAAGGTAATGCTAATATTCTGCTAGTGACTTCTTTTATTAGAGTTTGAAAAAAAAAGTTAATGATGTAGTTGAGGAAGTATCATTCTACCACATAATAAAATTCTACTAATGCAATATGCAATTAATAAACTATTTATGTATCTAAATCCAGGTTCTTGCCGTTATTTCTACGTTTCACGAAAAACACTTAAATAATTAAGTAAAATTCTCTGAAGTATTTCGTTTTCTTTGTTTTTCCCAAACAGATCATAACTGGATCGAAGAATTTGTCGTGAACTAGAAAATTTATAATTTTTACTTTGAAAAGGACATTTTTTGTTTTGTATCTAAATCTTCATAATATTTTTTGAAAAACTTGGAGATAAAATCATTTTGTAAAATTTTTTATTAAATATAATTTTATAAGTAAAAAAAAAATTTTACAAATCAATATTTTCTATTTTTCATTTATTATAATAACGAATTGAAATGGATTATGCATTTTTACTTTTGCATGTTGATAAAGCGACATATAATTGATAATAAGAGAATAAATGAACCAACTTTGTCAAAACTCTGGCATTAGGATTTATTTATTTATTATTAATGGTCACAGAAAATGCTAATACTGAAGAAAATTAAATTTTCTACAGAACAAAGAGTAATGAAGATGTATTTCTAGTATTTAAAGGTATCTTCAGAGTTAAAACTTCATTTTTAATTTTTTTACTAATTACATTTCTAGCTGCAATGCTATATTTAAATAATTTTGTAATTTGTAATCCTAGTGGCCCCCCATCTCGGCTTCACCTAAGACTCACTGAATGGAGCACCGTATGGTGTTAACACATAATGTATGAAATTCTCAGTTTAAATTTGTATATCTATTATTGACATTTCTTGGAACAACTGAACACATTAATAATAATTTTCTTGTTTGTAATTCATGCAGTTTATTTGGTCAAATAATAAGCCGTAAGAAGTGATGCTGAAAAGTACCGTGTGTCACTTACACCATTAAATACTTGTTAATGCTAAGGAGATGTTGATTTGACCTTTTTCACGTTGTGATAAATGAAATGGGGTATTCATATAAACTGTAGGATGGTAAAGTTGCCAGATTTTACAACTTCGTTACCAGATCGACTAAGTTCTGAAGCGTAATCTCTCTATTTGTAATCGCCACGATAATAACAAATACGTATATTTCTACCTATTTCAAAATCAAGAAAATTTATGTGATTACTGCCACAGTTTTGTCCATTTTAAAGCTGCTGTTTCAACCTTAATTTATATTTTGCGTCACTTTTTTGACGCCTAAACTGGTATGCATTTTGAGCATTTAGAGTTTTAGATAATTTTTGACGGGATTTGAACCCACGACCTCTCGAGTATCTCTGGCTAGGAGGATTGCACGCTAACCACTATGCTATCGGCGCTCTTAGGTCTCTCTTTACTGTTCTGAACGCAAAGAGAAAAATAGTAAAGTCATTCTGCATCTGCGCAAGATAGTTTTATTGCTAGTATTACTGGTACACAATAGACAAAGTTTATGCACGATTAGTTATGCTTCTTATTATACAACTTTAGATTCAAAAATATGTAACGTAAATCAAACTGACGATGTAAACGTTATTTTTGTTCTCAAGACTATTTTTATTTTTATAGAGTTACAATGCGTATTAAGATCTCAACAACTAGAAAAAAAGAGTTTTGTTTCTATTAAAAAGAAAATTCTAATACATTTGCACTAATGTTTGCCAAAAATATATTTAATTACGTTTACATACTTTACATTTGGACTTGAAATAATTTTATGGCCATTTTACCGAAATGTTAGTGACATCAAGTGCTATTAGATCGATTTCCGTATGAAGTAAATAACAAAGATTGGGATATGTTCGACCAAAATCTCCATGAACAAATTCTTTGATATAAGTTCCAGCTTGAGTTTTAAGATCGATTACGATGAAAACGTAGCGTTTTGAAATTCCTTTTATCAGCTGGTAAAAACTGTTTAACTCATGTGGATAAGCCAAGCGCCCTCGAATTTCATAAATAGTACGTTCTCTAGGAGACAATGTTCGTCGATGAAGAACTCGAACAGGTGTGTTTTGGATAATTTTAAACTGTTTCATTGTTTGAAGCTTGTTTATGAAAAAAAGGTTTAAATCTTCCTTCCTACAAATGCATAAGGCTCGATATGACTTTGATTTAGAAATCTCTCCCTGTTTTAAAATTTTTAAATTTGTTTTTGCTAATATTTTTAATTCATTAGTAATTTGAATTTTATTAGTTTTTTTTACAATTTCTTCATGTAGACAGCCTAACTGATGCTGTGTAATCCTAGTTATTTTTGGATTGACAAGTTCGACAGCAAAAGGTCGCCCAGGTGCTAACATTCTCACATCAACATCTTCTCTGCCAGATGATAGAAATTTCAGAGCTAAGGAAAGAGAAAGTAATTTAAAATGACGTAAAAATGTTTTGTATACATAAACTATTCAAAGAGCCATGAAACTAATATTCATTAAAACTTACATTCTGCTCTAGTATAAGTCAGGAGTGGTAAACATATTAATTCTTGAACTGAAGTTTCTGTTCTATATTTTCCATGCACAAGCCATGGCGTTTGAGGAAGCCGGCGTGAATATTTTACGTAACGACCTGTCATACAAAAAACAAAATTATTAAATTCAATAATGAATGTCATTCTTTGAATAATAAATGCAAATATGATACAATATTTTTTAGCTATAGTACTTCTTAACCCTACGGGTAATAAAAGTAATCAATAAAAAAAACTTTAAAACAACTTGTTATGATATAAAAATTTTAAATACCAGGCTATTAAAAACAGCATCTGTTTTTCAAATAAGACAAGTTCATCTAACCACGCATGAAAAAAAGCATTGTGTAGACATGAAAAAGTTCAAAAGATGAACTTTAAAATAAACGCAATACCTACTTCTAAAGTACACATAAATGGTCAAAGGTATCAAGTTATCAGAGGAGTATTTTACCATGGCAGTATAACAAAAGGTCAACATATTGTGTCAACAAAACTTAAAGTTTCATGCCAATTATTAAGGTATGGTCAAAAAAACAATAGCTAAGAGATGCCGAAAATCTTTCTAGTTTATTTTTAGGGTAAATTTAAAGTATTACAAGAACTTTAATGTTAGAAAGGAAACTTTAAATAGAAAATTGATATAAACTCAACCAGTCTTATTTAAATAAGATAATGATTTATGAAATTTGATGATCACATATGTTTAATTTCCATCTATTATAACAAGTCGATTTCAGAAGTCGACAATAAAGAAGTGAAATCTTCATGAAAAAAGAAAACTAACTTTATTCTAAACTACAAGGTTAGACGAGTTTTAACAGGTTTGATATGTATCGCAAAAAAATCATGACTTCAAAAATAATACATTGGCATGTAATATAGTAGTTATTTTAATAACATAAACTATAATTATGTCACGTATCCTTTAAGATGTATGTGGTATTTTTTCTGTTACTTGTTTAAAGTATTTAACAAAATAAAAGATTCCAAAAGTAATGAGATCAACAAAATTAATGGTTCACTAAATAATAAGATTAACAGAAACTAGTTAAGTTTTAAAGCATAATTTTAAATCTATATTACAATTATTTTAAAATTTAAATAAGGTAAATATCTTACAANTCACATCACCTTCCTTTTTTACTGCTTTTTCATTCACAACTGTTATAACTAAGTCTTATACATCTGCGTAACTGAATGTTAATGTATGAAATTACGTCATTATAAAATTCATTTGTTTAAAATATAAAAAGATTGAGAAAAATTTGTGGTCATCACTAAATAATAAGATTAACAGAAACTAGTTAAGTTTTAAAGCATAATTTTAAATCTATATTACAATTATTTTAAAATTTAAATAAGGTAAATATCTTACAACAGAAGGCTAGTTTTTTTACTACGTTTCTATGTAGTATTTAAACCAGTACCATTGTTGTTTTAAAATATGAAATAATGGGGGAAAAACTTTTAGTCAGTATGCGCAGATCTTATTTTATAGCCGCATTTTAAACTTGGCAAGCCTTCCATCACCGGACTGCGGAAACCTTTTTTATTTTTGCTAGTGATTTTTTTTATACTTTAAATAGGTCACATGACACGGCATTTTAGCAAGGTGTAAAGCAATTCATAATGAACTTTATGAATAAAAGTTGCTAATAGTTATTGAACTTGCAAAAGTAAAGGCATTGTGTTAAAAAATGCCCTTTAAGGTCCAGACGTTATTGGGAAAAATCTACTATACGTCTTAAAAATCCAATAAACAGTTTTTCAGTATCTTAAAGACTTATTTTTAAAAAGTTTAACAGAAAATCTCTGTTTTTCTTGGTATGAAATTTAAATTCACCTTTATAAAACCCTACAAAATAATACTAATTTTGATAATATAATACGTCCAATGACAGTTGGTTAATAATTAAAATAACGTCTAATGGTGGTACTGTCAAATTTTGTATTTATTAAAAAATAAAACGACGTTTCGGCCGTTTGGACAATGTCCCGGCCCTCATCAGGTACAAAAATCTATGAGTAATAAAAAATTCTTTACAACACACATTTTGATAAATACAATAAACGCAAATTAAGTAAAGTGTATAATATACCTCTGACTTTTACGAAGGGGATGTAAAATCGTAATGTAGTCAGAGTTTCAAGTTTTGTTGCTTTTATACTCTGCACATTTACAAATAACACAATATGCATACAATATCGTACCTGTAATTTCTTAAAGTGTACAGCTTCAAGAATTTTTTGGCGGAGAAAAAGTTACAATATCATCAAATGCTTCATTATGGTTTTGTTTATCGCAACCAGAACGTCTGATTGTTACGTTTTGTTCAACATGTCAGCAAAATTTTAACTCCAGCAAATATTTAAATGTAGTGCGCCAACATGTATTGATAAGTCATTTTTAAGTGAAATGATTTTTTATAATCTACTGAAAAATCAAAATAATCGGTAACAGTGAGGTAGAGTATGGCCTGTTACGTATTTGCGGGATCCTTCTTCCTATTAGTTAATAAAACCATAAAAGTTAAAAAAAATTTTTCTGTGCCATTTAAACCAATATACGTGGATTAACGTTGAATGAAAGGTATAAGATTGGTTCAAGTTCTGGTAGTGGCCACCAGCCAGAGCTTGTAGTAATAGTTTCCATGTTGAATGCTTGTTTACAGTATTTATAATTTGTTTGCATTGGAATCAGACCTCAGCCATATCTGTGCTACAGGCTGATTATATAAACTGAAAAAGTAGGCTCTTACAAAAAGTAAACGATATAAATAATACCATGGTATCATTGGTGTCTTACTATTAAATAGAAATGAGAAAATTTTTATTAAAGAAGGTTAAATAAAAGTGACTTAAAAATGAGTGACTACCAAAAACAATCTGAGTGGTGTCTTAAAAAAGTTCGGATGTTTAGATGTGTCGAAAGTTGTACAAGCAGACCAATGTTTATGTAGTGAAAATTTACTATTTCATCATTTTCAGAAAAAAAGGAATACTATTACGTGTATGGAGTGTCAATATATGGGCTGGGTCAGAAGGTCGTATTTACAAATTTTCGAGAAGAAATAAAAACGTTAAATAATGCCAAAACAAAATAAAGTTCTTTTTAAGAACATTTTGTGTACGTATAGGTTTTTTAAATATTTTTTTCCATACCTATTTTCAAAACAACACTCATTTAATTTAGAAACTTAACATTAGCTTTAACGGGAATCCGTAATTAAATTGTATTCAAACTACCATTTATATGAATCAAAATTTTCTAAGAGCAGTTCAAAAATGTCTTTTAGTTAAAAATAAGTTCATTAAAAAAGAATAATTGTATAAAAAAAGAATTTGACAAAAAATTTTCCACAAAGTTACATTTAACGAGATTTCATTAATGACACCCATAAGAGCCTTGTTAAATCGTAAAATTAAATAATTTTTTCTGAAAAATACATCTGATAAAAACATTTTAAAAAATCCAAACGCACATACAATGTTCTTAAAAATTTTATAGTTTTTTTCAGTGTTACTTAACTTTTTTTTTTTTGCCTGAACTTCCTTTCATAACATACTATTATGTTTTAAAAACTTTAAAAATGTTCGGACATCAATCGACTGCACTAACGTAACCATTCAGAGATTCAAAAATTTCTAATTAAACCGTAAACCTTCTGAATTAGTGTACCTTTAATTCCTCCAGTTTTAAATATATGTTTTAAATTGTATAACCTAAAGAAGACGACTCTGTTTGAATTTATAGTAAGACGTACATTTTTAGCATATTTATTATTAATTTTATTATTTATTATTTTCTTATATTAACTTTGTTGAAATCAAATATTTTTATACAATAATACACCTAATGAAATAGCGTAGGTAATAAGGCCTACTCTCGTAGCCTCACGCGTTGTCTACGAGAATGTGTATTGCCAGAGTTCCAATCCTACTATTACCAGTCTAGTCATGCAAGGTAGGGTATTAATCTTCCATTTAAAATAAAGGAAACGACTATTTGAGGACTTTTGGGTAACTGAACAATTGTTCATGATGTTTTTAGTGTTTTTAGTCGATTTTTCTGCTGATAATTATAGTATGACGTACATAAAAAAATAATGTATTAAAAAATCTTAGGTATATCGATGACGGATATTAATTTTTATTTCTTAAAAACTCCTGAACCAAACTGAAATAAATAGTGTACACAAACGCTTAGTTGGCTTCTTAAACTTGTCTGCGTAGCGCTACTACGCCACTTGGTATTCATATACAAATATGCAGCTATATTCACATCACCTTCCTTTTTTACTGCTTTTTCATTCACAACTGTTATAACTAAGTCTTATACATCTGCGTAACTGAATGTTAATGTATGAAATTACGTCATTATAAAATTCATTTGTTTAAAATATAAAAAGATTGAGAAAAATTTGTGGTCAGTGGGTGTGAAATTTTGCCTATAACCGGATTTCAAGTTTGGCTACCTTCTAATACAAGACTTTGGAGACTTTCATTTGCAATAAATTTTTTTCATACTTCAAGGAAATTGAATGACACGAACCCTTAGGATGGTATGAAGCTACTCCTAATAAATGATAGCGTTTTTGAAAAATTTGTGTCCATTGGCCCAAAAAGCCCGAAAAGCTACGTGTCTACGAGTAATTAGCATGCATTTCGAGATCGTGGATTTCCTAAATTTTTTTTTTACAAATAATCATAAGCAATAGAATATTTAAACATTGATAATAATTGTTGAATGTAATCAAGTATATCTTGCTCAATTTTTTATTCAAAATAACTACAAAGTAGCGTCTATCTGTGAAAAACGTGTATTTTTTATATCTTAACTCCAAATTACCTTAGTGCAACTTTTTTAATTTGTGTTTTTCATTTCGGTTTCGAATCCGTCTAAAGACATTTAATTAAAACCAAAATAATCTGAAATATTTGTATTTATTGAAGTTACAAATTTTCTAAAAATTGTTCTTGCATTTAGAAATCAAATTTTATCATAAATTATTAAATATTATAAAAATTAAATTTATAACGTTTTATTCAAGCCACGGTTTGCAAAAAAAATTTTTACTAAGATAAGATACAAGGTTGATATTTCAAGTTTAGAAATTCCAAAAAAAAGAGGTAATTGATAT